GATAAAAAATAAATGTGGCAATTACAAAAAATTACATTATTTTTTTTTAACCTGTAAGGATCACCCAGTGACTGTCTTGTATTGGTTACGCCTTTTTAGTTATTTAGGCAGCTACAACCTAGTTTTGAGTAACTATCGAAAATATTATTATTGCACCCTTGAGACTTATTTATTTTATGTGCACATATTTGTCTGCCTAGCAATTCGGCTTGAAAGGTGGTTGTGCTGGGGCCAAAGGTCATGGTATTCATAGTTAAAGCCCCTTTATGCTCATTGCCGTACTATCTCTTCTCATTGAGCCTTCTGTATACCATAGACAAGCTCCAGGTTCTTCTTGTTTTATTTTATATTTCCATTAGGCTCTCTTTTCAATAATTATATTGGATTAGATTTAATCAATTAGGCTGAGGATAAGTTCGACGTAGTTGTTCCAACTATTCTTTGAAATTTGTGAAGAATTTCCCAGCCTTTTTTCGTTCTATTTTGGCCAACTTGCATAATGATCAACGATAACGTATAACGATCAGATCCCTTTAGAATATATCCTTTATGTTATGTACCACATAAGCTTGAACATATGTTATGTCCCACAGAATATTTGGCATATCCATTGTGCCATTGGTGCTTGGAAGGTTTCTTAAAGCGTGCATTCCACGTTAACCTTTTGTACTATTGAAACGTATTTGATTGTTTTTCTTGGCGAATGGCACTATTATTGCCCTTTCTTGATTTGAAAGAATTTGCATAATTAAAATTTAAAAAAAAATAATTCAATACAATTTTTTTTAGCATTAAAAGGTTTGTTGGTCAAAATTTCAAGAACATCTGTACCCACTATAATTTGACGGTTTTACGTTTTTTCTTCGTGTTTGATTAGAATAATGTCAGTAAAAAAATAAAACTAAACGTTTTAGAAATCTAATCGAGGAGTACAAACATTTATTATTTTTAATTGAATATATAATTTAATCAATTTACTTAGTGTATTAAGTACCCTCTTGGCTTAAATGTAAGCAATTTTCAGAATTGTCCATCGTTTCAAGGGGGGAAAATGAAAAGAATAACAACAGAGTAGATAATAATTTTATATTAAATTGAGGGATTGAACAGATTTTTTTTAACAGAACGAGTTTTATGCTTGTGTCCGCTTTTTTTAGAATTTCTGCAATTTCTGCGCGTATTTTGTGAAGTTTTTTCGCCGACTTTTTTCGTGCATAAATAAGCACTTCGTGGCAATATTCGCCCTCACCATTAGTAAAACAGTCATCGAAAAATTTGACCTGGTTTTAATCTAACTACGCGGCCAAAAGTTCTTGCCAATAGTGTTGAGCTTTTTTTTCTTATTATAAGTTGTGTTTTTTTAACTTTTACATTTTTTAATTTTTTTGTTTTATTTGTACAAACGAATTGTTGGATTTTTTAAAAGAATGTCCTTGAAAAGCTATCTTTACATAAGTTACGTATGCCATATGGAAATACACAAAAGTGGGACAGGATCGCGTAACACGGGAAAAGGGGCTAAACCTAAAATTTATGTTTTGTATTTTAGGATTGCTCCACTTAAATTATTATTTGACGTCTATACTTCTTGAATTGTTTTATTTACATATTTCATCTAGTATATCTCATTATTTTTAATTCTCTACTAAAATGTATTTGTATTTATATTTCTTTAATATTATCCGGTATTTCATAATTAAACTTAATGTGGACTTAATTAATTCAATTCTATATTTGCCAGGAAAGATGTTTATTTGTCTAATCCCTTGGTAGTTAAGGTAAATATAGGAGGCTTAATGTGGACTTAATTAATTCAATTCTATATTGGCCAGGAAAGATGTTTATTTGTCTAATCCCTTGGTAGTTAAGGTAAAAATAGGAGGTTACAAAGATTTTATTTGTTGCAGTTTTTACGATACAAAGTTTGAGTTTTATTTTTTTACAAAATTGATTTACTGGGTTGTTTTTGCTACCACCTAGTTAGTCCTGGAGCATACGAAAAAACCAACACCAACTTTGGATGAGTTACAACAATATTAATAATTGTTTATAAATTTTCACTTAGAATAGCTTCGATTTAACACTATAATTTATTTTTACTATTTCGTTACAGTGCAGCCAGAGTGTATAAGAAATGGTAATTTTTTTTTTGTGTCTGTAGACTACATTTTAAACTTCCAATCATTTTAATGGAATTATAATAAAATGTAAGTAGTCCGCAGAGCCTAAAACATGATAGAAGGATCAGCCTAACTCGACTCAGAATTGGCCATACGCGATTGATAAACAGATATTTTTTTGCCCAAAGCCAGCGTATGTTTCGCGTATCTTCTTTACCATGAAGATAAAGGCTGTCACAGTTACTTTAAGGGTGTCGTTTCTTGGCCCCTTATGGACAGCGAATAAGAATGACCACTACGAGTATTGTACTGATGTACGGCAACGAATCTTTGGCTCACCGGTACCGATTTTTGGAGAAGAGGCTGTTTTATTTTACATAGTATACTACATACATAGATATCTCGTTTTGTGTTCCCTTGTGGGTATATCGAGGGAGACTGAATTAGAGTGAATGTGAAGTGTGAGAGGGACGACGGTTGACAACTGATCCCCTGGTATAAAAGTTTAAGAGAGGAGAAAAAAATCGAAAATTTGAATTTTCGTAAAAAAGTAATTATTCTTTTTACTTAAGGTTTTTGACTTATTTTTTTTAAATCCCGCTCGTGACATTAATTTTTCATCTCAACCAAAAACCCTAGATAAAAAGAATAATTAATTGGAATGTTAAATTTAAACAATGTTTGCAAATCCCAGGCCCTGAAGATGATCTCAACAAAGATCGAAACGTTGGCACGATAAAGAAAATGTTGTTCTAAAACCTACGTCACACCAGATCGCATGTCACGATCCCCCAACAATCATCGACTAACGGTCACTAATCACCTCGCATTAATTGGAATAAGTAATGTGGTCAAGTATGACCACTAAACAAATATGGCTTAAGAAGTAAGTTTATAAGAAATGTGTGGTGTTTAGAGAGCGTTAATTAATGATTATTTGGAGAACGTGAGATGCGGTCCGGTGTGATGTAGATTTAGAAAAACATTTTCTTTATCGTGCCAACGTTTTGATCTTTATTGAGATCATCTTCAGGGCTCAAAGCGTTTGATGCATTTTGGCCACTCTCACCACGACACGCAATAATGACACATCAACACAGAGAACAAACACACCTCAAGAATAATCAAACCTCGTAGAATGAACACCTTATTAAATGAAAAGCAATTGCATATAAAATATTTCAACCATGCTAATGCAGAATGCAACTAAATTGTGATTTATGCTATTTTAGTTTTGTAAGTGTATGAATAATTTTTTGGCATACAAAAATGTCATTTTTTAAATTTTAAAGTACACCTAATCATTTTTAATCAATAATTATAAGAAACGTATTACTCAATCGTCTACATTATTTTGCAAAAGAGGTTTTAGTTAAAAAAAAATAGAATTAAAGAAGACAAAATCAAAAAGAGCAACGTCAGTTTACATTTTGCAGAAAACTGGATTTAAGTACTAATGATAAAATAAAATAAAAAAGTTAAATAAAAACAATTTATGTGTAGAGTGAAATTTTATTTTACTACTATTAATATACAATGTATACAAAGAATATAAAAATAAATAAAAATAATGTTAAAGAAAGAAGTAGAACAAATATTTATTTAGAGAATTTAAAAAGATTGGTTGGAAATTTTGCATTTTTGACAATTTTGGGCAATTTCTGTTAATTATTACGGGCTCTAATTAGGAAAGAAATTTGAAATAAAGCTGTTTTGTATTTATGAAGATGGAGATTTGAGCGAATTGAGTGCGAATCTTTGAGATGATATCTGGCTATTTAAATGGAAAAAAAATGTAAAAAGTCTGAGAAGATGTACTCTGGTGTTTGAAATGGCGGTTATTAAATTGAAAGTGTGTTTAAGATTTCTTTGAAAATACAAATTTTCGGCCAATGCATTTCTTTGAAGAAAAGGATAAATGTATCTTTTTTTTACACTAAAGCGGATAGAAAAATTTAAAACCAGCTCTATGTGCGAATAGTTGGAATAAAAGCGGCTATAAAAGTTTCTAAGATGGTAAAAGTACTTTATAGGGTTTCAGCCGGAGTATAATTCAGTCATCATTTTTAAAGACCAAAACTAAGTTAGTAACTTGAAAATAGAATTTCTGCACAATTTATTTTATGAATTGTCTAGAGGTCAATTTCGCTGAGCTGGTTTTTACTTCCAATTACTTCCAATCCATGCATTTGTGCCTATTAGTAATTGAGGTTAATCAGCCAATTGAATCTTCTCCATATCCTTATTAATCAATCTAATGCATTTTTCGATATCAGATTGGAGTATTGCATGTAGATTTGGAGGTTATCAGCAAAGAGTGTGTGGTTGTGAATGGCAAATCATAAAGGTAAGTACAGAAAAGAAGTGTCCCAGGAGGAAGCCTGAGGAACATCCCGCTTCACTGGTAACCACAAGATCTCATTTGTTTTCTCATGATCGTTTCCATCCAGACATATAAGACCCAAACCAATTTAGCTTTGAGCTGGATGACATAAGGAAGCCATCTTTTGAAGGATGACATGGTCCACAGTATCGAAGGGAGAGAAAAGGAGGACAAATTTTGGAGTAATGGATTTTGCACAATAGTAATTTATTTACCAAACACTTTTTGATTTGTATTATCTGTTTTGAAATCTATTGTGCAAAACCTTTTGTATTTTTTAACAATAACCTAACGAAAAACAGGTATTTTTATGTATACGAAGGTAATTCATTTTCAGGGGGGTTTCTTGGGGTTTGGTCTCTCTCAACCCGTACGGATTAATACCCTTCATTGGGGTCAATTTCGGTAAACAAACGCTCTTCGGCGAGGGGCGCGGTATCCTTCAGTTGTTTTGTTTACAGATAAATCTGGGCCAGAATTTGGACCAGGAGGGGCGGAATGAAAAAGAGAGGGGTAAGGGCGTTCCTTAGATAGGGGGGACCGACTTGTTTCCCAGTAGTCGAGGTAGTTCTGTGCAGTGAAGGGGAGCATCTCATCAACGAATATCCTAGGTGAGCTGGTCTTTCAAAGAAATAATTTAAATTAATAAATCAAATCAAGAAGCTATGAACTTCGGGGTGAAGGGAAATTGTACGAGCCACTATCAATGACAACAAAATAACCACAGTTGCTTCATAATTTTTTTTAATATAGCAATATAAAAGTTTAAGCATTTCCAAATGAAAGACATATAAAAAATTTTCTTTAAACAATTGATTAAACATGTAGTAAATCAAATATGTCACATGGTTACTTGGTACTCAACTTTTTCAAATTTTCAATTTTTATTAACGGAAAAATGGTACAAAATGATCCTTTTATAACTCATATTCAAATAAACTCAAAACCACATAAACTCTTTCTAATTTTCCAAGAAATTTTTTATTTGTTAAATAATATCATAAATGCAAAACTATATAAAATATTGTTTAAGTACTGTATGTATTATAAAAGTATGTAATGATAAATTAGGATATCTTATTAAACTAGAATTAGTTTAAATTTGCTTGAAAAATTTAAAAAAAATGCTTTAAAATTGGGTTTTTAAAGTGTGATTAAATTGTTTTCTTCAATGAAATTAAAAACTCAATGCTCTCAGTTATTGGGTTTGTGGATAACTGAGATCATTAATTAGCTGGTTGATAATCTACATAGTTAAAAACTCAAAAACTTAGTAAATTGATTTTTTTTTGTGTATTGAAAATTGTCTTTTTCTTGAAAGGAATCCATTTTGGGGGGTAACTTTAGCCGGATTATTACTCGCCCCCATTCCCTTACTCTAAATTTTCACGTTGGGTACATTTGCGAAAGAAAGCTCAAATTACAAAATTTCGACTCTAATGGAATATTACAATAATATAATGTTCTAATTTAAGTACAGGCATCGTGAAGGTAGTTAATTGCGAATCATAAATTTTGCCGCATTTAAAATGGGAAAGGCCAATTGGCCGGGGGATGAAAGCGTGCTGCCGAGGTCGCGGCCTAAATACGTTGGAGTATTAATAAACGTTTAAAAATTTATTCGCCCAAAAGTACTGCTGCTCTATTTTTGGACCAAGTGTGAGCATTAATTTATCACGGCGGAAGGTTTGCACTTCAAATACCCAAAATTCCACTTGCAAATTAAAACTACTCGAACTATAATTAAAAGCAAAAAGTAACAACAATAATTTACACAATTTTAAAAACTATCTTTGAAAATTAAAATTTATAAATACAATCCAAGGCTGTATAGTATAATATTTCAAATCCGTCCAGGATTTTTACTAAATTTAACATATATTTCAAATGAACTTAATATTTTAACCGATACATTTGCCTTGAATGCTCCTTTTGTCACGGGTTGGAAAATGGGTCTAGGGATTTGTCATAGTTCCAATTCGAGCCTATTCTATTCTTGGCTTTTGGCCCTCTTGTGCTGCCAAAAACACTTTGCACTAGTTTTTCGATCCAATTTTTTCAACCCGTCCTCTAAATTTAATTATCGCCGTATGAGTAACAAGTAAATTACAACCGGGGCTTTGCAATAAACTGTAATACATTAAAATTATAAACCTACCGATTTACAATTACGATTCTGTGATAAAAATAAAATTGATAATTAACGAGAAGAAAATAGTACTACAAATATATAGTAGGATTTTTTTAATTTACTCTAAGCTTTTGAGGTGAGAACATTTTGCAAAAGATCATTTTAATAAGTAAACTTAAATTAGCTAAAGAGAACATTTGGTTAGGTGCCGAAACGTCAAATAAAAGGATAAAACTGCAGAGAGTAGTTTAATATAAATAAAATACAATTATGTCTACAATATTGAAAGAGAAAATAATACGTGATAATGTAATAATAATAAAAATTGTAATGATGAAACAAGAAAGAAGAAAAAAACATTATTATAAGACAGCCTTATTTAGTTTTGTTTGAACTACAAAAAATTATATTAGCATCTAATTTAAAACTAGGCAACTTAATAAAAGCATACGATTCAAAGACATTTCGTTGTAAAATTAGCAAATAAAATAGAGTAATACAAATAATAATGCACAATGGAATAAAGAAAAAGGATAAAAAAATATGAAATTTTAGTTAAATCCCTCATCCTTCCAGATAAAACATTGTACAAACCATATAAAATATATTTTTCATATATTAAGAACGACAAAAACCTAGTAAATAAAATAAAATAAATTAATTAAATTAATTATTAGAATTATTTTGTACTCTCTATACTGCAGTGACAGTATAGAATTATTTATCTATCTTAATCGACCATTTTTTCTCATTTACTACTAATTACAGCTACTATTATTGTTGAAATTTTTCTATTTTATTTAAATATAAATATTTATTTATATGTATGATATGGGGGAGAGCACAAAATTTTATACGTGAATTGCATTTGTGGTTTGGGCGATATTTATTTTTACGCAATCGAATTATTTTTCATTAAAAAATATAAATATCTGAAATTTGTTCATTTTTGGTCATACATAAAATAAACCAAATACAGTTTTCACAACCACAATGATGCCAGCAGATGCTGAAATAATACCACACAATCAATCAAATTGGAATAGATGTTGCTATAAATCGGACACCGCAAGGCCTGACATATTTTAAACCACTAAAAAATTCTAAAATTGTCGTTATTAAGAGGAAAATTATTGGTGGGCAATTTTTTGTTGGTGAAAACCTGGGATAACACCAAGTGTATGTTTTTAAAGTTCATTGAGAATTTATTTTAATTTTTTGAGTAAATTCGTTTTGTAATTTGATTGTTTCCAACCTTTTTTCCCTGCCCATTTTTGCTGGTTTAGATTGTCAGGCGGATTTTGGCTTTTCGCCTTTTTCAGTGGTTCTGATAACTAAAATACAGTTTCGTCACTTCAAAGTGGAATTAGGGGATTTAAACTTTTAGTTACTATGTTTAATGATATTGGGTTTTTTCGTACATTTTTCCCATTAAGAAGAAATGTTCTGTGTTGTTAATTAATGATAATTTATTATAAGTACGTTCTTTTTCAGGGCATTAAGAGAGAGGTCGTAAACGAAAAACAACTACAAAAAGAAAAATGTTGCTCCACAACCACCTTGATATGATCGGGAGGAACGAGCCGATCCAGAGGAAAGCCAAATTCTGGCAGTCTTATGTCAGAGCTCTTAAAGGTAAGACAACGTGAAAAGCGCTAGGCAATCATCCTTATTGACTGATGAAAAATGTAATATCAAGCGACTTGTTGATATCAAGTCAATTATCCAATATGGCACTTGTATTCGAAAAACCTTTTTTGGCTAAATCCTGAATGTCGCATTCATGCAAATGTAAAGATTCTATACATATTATAATGAGCCAGTAAGCCTGCCCTTTTTCAACTTTTCTTAGAATGATATGAGAATCAATATGAATTTCTTCAATCAAAGTTTTGAGGGCGGAAAAATACATTGTCGTCCGAGGTTATATAAGTCGTCATATATCTTAACACTAAGAAAGAAGAGAGTCGTTTACCTTATCACCCAAAGCCTAATTGACGTGAATATAACCATTTGGATGTTCAGGTAAACGTCTCTCTTCTTTCTCTATCCAGTTGCCAGTCTTTCTCTACTTCACGGCGTCGTAACTGAAGAAAAAATATACAATGATAAACCCACAAACTTTACACATGTAATACAATATATAGCCCCACCATTCACGCTAATAAATTGCGCGCGCGCACACACACACACACACACACACACACACACACACACACACACCAAACTTTATTCACTCTCCCAGAGTACCCGATATTCTTAAAGGTAATTGGGGAAGAAGCCCCTCCATTTACGCAAATGAATCACATTCCCACGCACATGCAAAAGTTAATTCGCACTGTCGCTGAGAGTAGTCGATATTCTTCAAAGAAATTGGGGAAGTAGCCCTTGTTTTAATGAACTATTTATATTAAAAAACATTAAAAATTAGATAATTATACTTGTATGCCCTAATTTTGTCTATTTTCGTGCTAGATTTGGCATCATATTTGATTTATTTTCCAATTGAAGGAAATCACCTGTTTTGAGAACTATTTGAACTGCTAACGTAGAACAGTATAATTTTTTAGAAATTAATAAAATTTATCTCAGTATATTACGTTATAATGTTAACCAAACTATCAACAATTTTGAACAAATACACATTATGCAAAATACTTATGTTTATTTTTTAAACTCGATATGATTCTCAGTTTAAATTTTAGTTTAAAAGGGATTCAGCTTTAAAGACGACAAGTTGTGATCGTGACAGGCAGTTTATTTATGCTGGTTTCCCTTTTTGATGTCTGTCGTATTCACCATGAGATCAAATGTAATAGTAACTTATGAGTTAATACATTTTTTTTTCAGGCACTGATGACATAAGGGCACCAGAGGCGTCCCACTACTCTCGCTACCCATCATCCAGGGGTCTTTTCCGTCCCCTTCTCGACTCTTTCCCAACTTGGCCCCACGTCAAGTCTATGTACGACGACCCGATCGCCCCGTCCGACAGGATCTCCGTCCCTGGCTACCGTTACCTCCCTATATCCAGGGAAACATACGGCCTTTCCCCGAGGAACATCTACCCACATCACTACTCGAGCCTGGACCGTTATCCGCGCACCGGTAGGTACTGAACACATCAAAAAAATCTCCACGGGAACAGCTATGACCGGAGTGAAATAGCTCCAACCTCTCTCTTATTCGAACACACGACTCCCGCTTTACCATCGTTGTTCCCTGTGGGATTAAGATCGAAGTTTAACTATAGCCGAATCGTCTGAATGTGTTCACTTTTTCACCTATCAACCAGTCGAGAAAACCACATAATTTTTTTTTATCTTTAACAAACAGCGTTTGGTTTCGAGTTTCACTTGATCAATCGCTCATATTGTTTTCACTTATTTTAATTACATTACAAAATCTTCAGATCCAAAAAAATGCTTATATTAATACAAAACTTAGAAAACTATCGGGATTATCCATCGTTATTGTAACTAAAACTAAAATTTGATTGTAATAATCTCTTAAATGTTTATTTTAAATCATTAATTTGTTATAATTTAAAAAATCTATATTTATTTATTATTTTAAGGCAGAGTACAGTACTACTGTAGAGTCAAAGTAGTCTCCTGGCTAAATTGAATTTCCATCTACTTTGTAAATTTTATAAAACATCATATTTTTTTCGTTTTTCTATGGTCAATAAAAATTACCATTTAAAGACTGTGAACAGAAGTGTGTGTTTTTTTTACGAATCACCTGCTAACCTGTAACCTCTAACCTTGGCATGGTCAAATGTTTTTAGCAATTAATAAATACAAAGGGGGATAATGTCCATTTATAAATAAAATAGGCATGATTTTTGCTGCAAGAAATAATTTTTGTTCCCATACGCTTTATTTTATTCTTTATTTACCACAGTCTTTGGTCAATCGACCTTTTTCATTAGATGATCTGAACGCTCACCTTTGTTTTTATTCGCTCTTGATTAAAATTAAAATTGACCATGTCAAAGAACAAAATCGCAAAGCCTAAGGCATTAATTAATATTTTGCTTCAAATGAAACAAAAAATCATTCATCCGGTACTTCGATTCAAGTTACTGACACTTGTACATAACCATACTGAAATTCATTTTTTTTAATGAAGTTTTTTTCATATAAATAAAATCATCTCCAAGCATGTACTTGTACATAGTGTGATGCTTGGGCGGTGCTTTTTTTAAACATATATTTTCTCTTTTTTAAAATACTACGTCCGCAAACATTGATAGTAACGTTAGAAGCGAATTTATTCTAGTGCGTAAATCCTAATTCAGTAATGTATCTTGGTTAAAAAGAAATTAACAAAATAGAGAAAAGTGTAAATCGTTGATTTTGAATTAGCTTGAAGAGATATTTTAAAATAACCCAAAACCTAGCCATAGAGTAAGACACGAGTCACTGATTGTGGATGGTGCAACTCCCGACGGCAGTGAATTTTTGGAGCTGGACACCGATCTCCAAACCTCGATTGAACGATTTTCCAAAAAGGAATGCCAGCCAACATGTTTTTTCTAAAATATTTTTTAAACAATTTTTTTATTAAAAGAAAATTCTATCAGACGATCACGATTACGCTACCAGTTCAAGCACGACGAAAAGTATCACTTTCAATTTGGTAAGTACAAGTTTTTATTTTTTATATATTTTATTTAATCATTTTTAATACTAGCTTCATTATGCTTTGTACATAGCTTTTTACCGCTATATATTTCATGCTTTCTATCATGATGATTTTAAAACAAACATTCAGTTTTACAAAGTACTCATTTAGCCAGTTCCAGAAGTTTCATGAGAAATTGATTGTTTTTATATTAAAAGAAAAAATTATTCTCTAAAAATATTATTTAATTGAAATATCGCGAAAATATTTAGTGCCCCTGGGAGGTTCCCAAAGAAATGACATATTGGTAGAATTTTGTTCTAAATTAACTAGATGACCACCCATTCCTCTTTTCTCCATTAATTAGTAAAAAAATTATCATAGTAGATAATTAAATGGAGGAAGTAAAGCGTCAATGTAGTTTCAATTTAATTCAAGCCAATTAAAAAAAATTCAAAATTCTTAGGTTTCTTAGTTCAGTTTTAGGTATATAAAAAGTTATCGTAAACCATAGGACTAGTTTTGAAGAAAACTAAAAAAAAAAAATTGAAATTTCAAATATCCTGATATATTAAGAAAGACAACTGAACCAAAATAATTTTATACACAAATAATAATATTTGATAAAACCAGTTTCTTTCTTTCATTTAGAAAAAATAGAAAAATCAACTTAACTTTTTCATTAGGTTTAAAAGCGCATTTATATACAATTAAAACTACATTTGTAAATAAATTATTAAACTTTACTCACTTCACTATTCGATTTTGCAGTTTTAATACACACTGGTATCCTTAGCACACCCCATAACAATTGTAGCAAAATTAATGTTTAAAGAACTCGAAACCACTGGCATAAACGATAACATAAAGCTTCCCAACATCTAACACTTGCCAGCAAATCTAAAAACGAATAGCGTTTCCGTTGAATGATAATCTAAATAATCGAACTAAATTTACTACAAACACTTCACACAAATCTTTTTACAATTCCTAACGACTGATGTACTGAATGAGTGTTTCAATAGATTAATTAAGACTGAATGGACATCAAAATGGGATTATCGAATAATATATTTCGTTATTTTTTATCTTGTCTATGTTATTGTAGCCATAGTATACAATATGTTTTGATATTACAAGTGTTAATAAATCAATGTTTCATGTTTGCTATAAATATTAAGTTGATATTTTAAGTTTTGCTAATGAATGACCAAATGACACATCTAAAAACACTTTTGTTGGCCTTAGTCGTTGATATTTACCTAGCTACTTAATCGTAACATTTTATTATGGATATTTGTTACCATTGTACTATAACCTGTAGTCCTGTAATAATTTCGTTTAAATAAGCTAAATTTGACTCAACGTGCTTAATAATGACCGTTAAGCCTACTAGGGTGCTTAAGGACAGGGATAGGGATAAAAGAGGCGGTCACAAGGCCTTCTGCACCTCGACCTGAATAGATCCATTATGCTCTTGTGTTTTTGATAGTTCACTGCTAGCTTCAAGTTGTTAATCAGTCTTCATACATTTACCAGCGGCTTCTTAGTGTAAAATCTTGCTTGCTGTTTTTCCTATCCAAGTTGCAAGAACATGCACCTACCTAGGTACCTTCACAGAAACAAGCATGCTCTTCCTGGCAGTACAGGCAGTGTTTCTCCTGTCTGTACTCCTATCTGGTGCATGGGTTTTCTTAAGTGGCAATGTCCTGTCAGAAGTCCAACCAGAACCTTGATTCGGTTGATGTTGCCTTCCAGGAATTCCTTTGTACGTTTAGCGGATGGCCTTATATAAATCCCTTTGCTTACCTCATAATTGTGGTTAACCACCAGGTTTTGAACTCATTATGGATTCATTTTTCTGGCAGAATGTTAAGCCACAGTTGGGTTGAGGTCCCAGAGTCCATATTGACTCCCCTCTTTGGCCAGCATGACAACCTTTTCGATGCCTATATGCCCCGAGAGCCCAGAAACCCATGGTCAGTTCATTAGTGTCACTGATGTCCTGATTGATGATTAGTATCAGGGCCTCCATGCAGTTCCAAACACACTTTGCCTTCACCTCACATTAGTCGAGGGCGTTTAGTGCTGCCTGATGTCAGAGAATATGGCTATCTTCCGGGAATGTATTCCTATTTTAATTTTCCTGGCGCAGCAGTGTTCACTGGCTATGATTTCAGACTGAAAAACTATATAATATTTAGCTAGGTTTACCGTCAGTTCGGTCTTAGGATTCATCCCGAAGACTCCAGCCCCGTGCCCTTGTCGGTTTTGAAGTCATCGTGTTCCTTATGCCCATTTTCCCGTTCTGGTATCAGTATCTTGTACTTTCTAGTAAAATTGTATTTTGGAGTAGTGGCATAGATTGGCATGCCTAATATGGCATCTACCTGAATCTCCTCCCTCAGCTTCCATTGTTTATTTTCATGCCTATCGTTGCAGATGGTTGGCCATTGTGAGCGTGTGGGTTGCTGCTCTGGCTTCTCCTTGGATTAAAATAAAGTGGTGGACAGTTTTTGGGTGCCACTTAATAGCCTGATTGCTTTGGCTTGCAGTGTCTTGGTCCACCACACCACCGACCCATTGACCTTAATTCGCAGGTGGACATGAGCCATAGGGACATTTTGGGGTTTAAACCCCTGTTTTTGGCTCAGAGCTTTCAAGGGGCTTAACAGTTGAAAGGAAAACAAAAGTAAGAAGTAATGTTGATCGATTCTGAATACTGTAGGTGATGATTAATTATTTCTCTACTGGCCGTTCATTCATAGTTCATATTAGAAATATTTGAAGTATACAAATTTAATAAAAAATCTTGTCATTAGTTTTCTTTTATTCCAATTATATTTAATTATAATAATAATTCTTATTGGTGGGATAGAATTCGGTCGAACATTTGATATCCTTAAAGAGTTACAGCTGAAAAAAGTACGGAACAAATAAGCCTTTCGACTTTTCGATGGATTCATATCTATCATCATAATTATACATACTTAACTTAAAACTATTGATTCAACATTTAAGGGAACGTTTATTCTACCTTAAGAGTAATAGATAATTTTTTTACATTATTTGTTATCAAATGTTTTTCGTTGAAAATTATGTATTACATTACCTAGGAAATTATTTTTAAATGAAAATTATATACGTTGTAGTATGAGATTTCAATTTACTATTAGTAATAAATAAAGTACAAAACATAAAAACAACCATTATGAAGTTAAATTTTAAAAACTTAACTTTTTTAAAAAAGAAAAGATACTTTAATTTTGTATATTAGAAAAGAAAGTTCAAACGTAAACTGAAAATTAAACAAACCAACTTTCAAAGTATTATCAGAAAAAGAATAAGTAGTTACTAAGCCATCAAAATAGCCAACAGAACGTATTCAAAAACAGATGGAGATTTTGCATTTTTGACATCTATGAGCAGATTCTGAGATTTCTTTGTATTGATGAACAGTCTGTCGGCCACGTTTCGGTATCTACAGTGTGTCTGTTCAGAAGCGAACATCACAGTTCAACGAAATAGGTAGGCCAAAATGATCGATACCGATCGAATTTAAAGACATTTGTTATAATTTTTGCATGCTCTGATGAGGAAACCGTTTAGAAAAAGAATGTTTTGGATTTTGAGGACACAGATAAGTAGGATTCAAATTAATTGAGCGGGATCTACGTGGTTTGATCTGGCTATTTGATCAAAAGATTTTCAAAAGGTAGTCTGGGATATTCGAGTACACTGAAGATTGGTGTACTACAATTGCAAAAAAATGGGCAATTGTAGGTTTTGCCATCTATTATCACTGATTATATTGGGCTGCTGAATTTATGTGAATTTTTAAATTTGGATGTAATAAAGTCACATTTGAACAAAAATGGATTGAAAAACATTAGTACAATTTAATAATATTAAAATATAATAATATAATAGTATTAATAGGTCATGTTATCATTTGATTTGCGTTCTAAGAGTGATCAATAAAATCCGGCAGCTTTAGAAATCACGGCGCCCAGTTTATTCCATTCTTCAAGACACTTGTGTGTTGCTAAACTTACTTTTTCAACCGGTCTAAAAATATGCAAAGACAATCGTATGGACCTGGGCCAAATTCCCTCAGACAAAGTCACTGGTTTGGAAAATTCTAATTAACATCAAAATAAATTTCGGGCGGTACAGATTTGTATACAGAAGTATATTTTGTGAATGATGTGTTATAAAATTTCCAATAAACTTACAATGTAAAGCTCACCGAAAGGAATAGTGCTGGCCCTCTAGTGGATATAAAAGCTTAAATTTAGCCATTTTGTAGTGTTTGTCTTAAATAAAATGTTAAAATTTTAAATTACACGCTTTTACATTATCTATTTATAATATACACATATAGTATGCAAAAACTGTTTTCTCAATCAATACTTGTTTGTTATATTCTGATGTATTATTGTTGTTAATGTTTTAACCGTTGCCCTTCTGTTTAAATTCGTCTATTTCTCGCAATATATTTTTAAGATATAAGTTTTAAATTTGGTTTTGATTGAAAGCTATCTCACGATTCGTAGTTAAAAATCATCTTTGAACAATTTTCGTTCGTTTGTATTTCATAGATAGATTGTCGGTAGATACATTGGTTCTTGTGAATCTCTTGTAATACAACTGATTCCATTCTTGTGACGGGAGGGAATGATTGAATGATACGTAACTATTAATTTTTCGTTATCTATCATTTTTGTCTGCCTATCCTCTCCAGGTTGATCTTCATTCTAGCATTTTGCCATCTACAGTACTGGCTGATGACCAGAGGATAGGCCCAGTGAAGATAGGCTGCCCAAAATGATAGACACCGATAAAATTTAAAGGCAGTTTGTTATAATTTTGGAATGCTACGATGAGGAAAATCTTTTAGAAAAAGCATGTTTTGGATTTTGAGGATATCGATCAAAATTATTTAAATTGATTGAGCGGGATCTACGCGATTTGATCTGACTATTTGAAAAAAAAAAAAAGATTTACAAAGTTACTGTGGAATTTTAGAATGAATATTACAATTAAAAGTTAGTAATAGGATTTCTTAGTGAACATAAAGTTTCGACCAATGCAATTTGTTGTAGAAGAGGGTTATTATCTTTTTCCTCCATTAAAAAAGAAAGGGACAGGAATTTATAGTACGCTTACGGTTTTTGAATTGTTGTGATATTTAGTTCAAACAATAAAACAAAAAGAAAAAAAATTGAAAGAAAATTTCTAGGAGAGCGCCTATTGATTTAGAATTTACAGTTACATATAATACTAAAATTTACTCATTATTCTGGATTTGTACATCACTGATGATGTGCGTACTACAATTGGAAAAAGATAGGCAATTATAGAATTTGCCCCTATTATCTTGGGCGCCCCTGTGTTCCAAAATTTTGTTTAGTCAGTTCAGTAAAAAATTCATGTTAATTTTTAAATTTGGATGTAATAAAGTCACATTTAAACAAAAATTGAATAGAAAAAGATTAATCTAATTTAAATTATATAAAGTTTTTGTTGATAAAGTAAAGTTTATAATGTTTTTGTTTAAAAAATTAATTTTAAGTTTAATATGTTCCTGGCAATTGGATTTTTTCCCGTTGTGAATATGCTTTTTAGTTTTATTTACTATATCGCATAGTCAGCAATAAATTTCTTTAGATTTTATAATAATATTTAAAATTCACAAATAATTAATTTGGAATGGGTTAAGATTTTTTATTTCTAATACTACTTGACGTTTGAGTTTCTACATTTTATAAAAATACTATATTGTGATGTGACCCGTGGCCGACGACCCTACTGTACGTACAACGGAATAATTAATAGTGTACAAAAATTTCGTTCGAAAATAACCAAAATTTGGCATGCTGTCTTCGATCCTTCGTGAGCAGCTGCCGTACAAACTAAATTTAAATAGAATTTTTTTTTTAAAGAAAGTTTCAAGTTTGTATGCTGCCTGTTTTTTAAGAATTTTTTAAACTTAACAAAGAGTATTAATAGGTCTTGTAATCATTCGATTTACATTCTAAGAGTGCTCAATAAAATCCGGCAGCTCTAGAAATCACGGCGCCCGGTTTATTCCATTCTTCAAGACACTTGTGTGTTGCTAAACTTACTTTTTCAACCGGTCTAAAAATATGCAAAGACAATCGTATGAACCTGGGCCAAATTCCCTCAGACAACGTCACTGGTTTGGAAAATTCTAATTAAAATCAAAATAAATTTATTGTAGATTTTTATAGTATTTTAGAAATAGTCATTTTTTTCTCTGGGAGTGTATAAAAAGGTTTGTTTGTAAGGGTCGATACTTTATACAAATTTCCATTCAGCGGACGGTCTAGATTTGTATGCAGAAGTATATTTTATGAATGATATATACTAAAATTTCCAATAAACTTACTAAAGTAAAGCTCACCGAAATTAATAGTACTGTTTTTACTTGGCCCTCCATTTTGAAAAGAAAAGGGCTTCAATTTAGCCGTTAGATAGGGTTTTTCTTAAATAAAACATTAGAAATTTTTTTTTATATATGTTTGATATGTATTTAAATTTGAATGTTGCACAGAGTTAATAAAACAATTTAAAAGTCTAGCTTTATCAGATTTTTGACAAAATTTAGAAGCAAATTAGATCAGAAGGTCAGGAAGTTGGATATTCAAATTTTTATTCCTTCGAAAATGATCTTAAACTCTTAGATTAGACACACACCTTGTAGACCCTGGGTAATGGGTTCAATTTCCATCGCCACCCCTGGAATTTCTCACCCTGACTCTGTCCTCCAATTATTTACTTTGGAAAAGGGTTAAATATTAAATTTTTTTAAAATAAAACTGTCTCGTGTAAAAAATTATTATTTATTGTTGTATTACTGCAAAAGTTAATTATAAATCCATTTCTGTTTAATGGTCTAATTTGACCAAATTACTTATTTCAATTAATTATTCTTTTTATGTAAGGTCTTGGTTGAGATGAAAAAGTTAGTGTCACAAGCAAGATTCAAACGCATGACCTTTGGTTCAATACGCCGCTACTTGAGCTATCATGACTTCAGTCCACTCAAACAACAACTCCCCCATCTCAACCTACAACCTTTCAAATTTTCCCTCTTTTTGCCAAAATTATTTTTATTATTTCGTCAAATTAAACATATAGCTAGGTCTAAAAATGTGGCCAATTTGAAAACATTTTAAAGTTCATAAATAGTTTTAGCAGATTGAGCAAGCAGCCACACCTTAAATCAAAATAAAGACAAAATAAAAAATCTTATCCTATTCTATATCTCATTACAGAATACTACTATCCTTTTACTGACTGGGATCGTCTTGACCGCCAACCTGAACATAAGTACCTGAACCCGGCCTACAGGAAGCCATTTGTTAAGGAGTACACTATTGGACCCGATGGAGCCAAAGTTCCACTTTACACGTATACAGGTATGATGGTTCCCTGGAATTCTTAGCATGAATTAAAAATTTTTAATAAATATTGATTAAATTTGCAACATTAACGAAAATGTGAGGGTTTTGAAAATACTTTTATGTATCTTCAAGTTTACCTTGTTTAGTTTTTTCTATTAAACTTAATATTCATTATTATTCAACTTTATTTTATACATATATATTAAAAAGTTTTGAGTGTACATTTCTAACGTTTTTGAAATATGTAATTTTTTAAAAATCTTAATTACATGACTGTTTGACAACTAGTTTTATTGTCTCATTTGTACATGTGAGACTTAGTTTTGCTGGTTTGGATTTAATTAAGCGTTCAGGCTAATTAATTAACCAAATGACAAGAATTATATAATTTTATCAGATTTTTTGAAAATATACTTCCTTCTTTGTAATCAAATTTAATGATTCTTCATTTTATATTTAATTTAAAACAGATATTGTATTATGCTAATTTAATTTTGTGTTTATTTATTTGATCCTGGGATTCAAGAAATCTGATGCCATCTAAAGTTGGATTAAAACAAATTCTATCAAGAATGGCCAACTGACTTGTCTACTTGTCAGCAACAATAGCATTATTGATATTAAACAGGCCAATAGCTGCTTTTGGTTGTAATTTGTTTAATTTTATTCATCAAACTCAAGTATTTTTCCAGATTTACCCAAGGTGACTATCAAGAGCGTATTCCTCAAACCGTTCGTCCCACCGTACAGTTAGTAACTTTAATTGGCAAAATGAATATCAAAATTAATCAAATGTGCACTAACCAATTTATGCTTCTTAATCATAGTTATGAAAATAATTTGGAATCTTCACATAAAACTACAAATATAAAATTTCAGGTTTTAAAGGTAAATTAATTTTATAAATTCAAATAACAATAAATCTACTTTCCAATGTTTAAGCATAATTTTGATAGTTTTCATTTGTAAAGAAAAGTTCAAAAATTAGAATTAAAGAATTGTAACTGTTTGGTTAAGCAACTATTACAAATTTACTTCATTTTTGAAAATTTTATGTGGCAAAAGTCAATGGTTTGCAACTCACTGCCATGATTCTTTTTAATTTCTGTACAGTTTATCCTTTTTTAGTATTTTCTTTCTTTCGGTGACTTAATTTACTCATACAACAATAATTCTAATGTAAGTGAAGATCAGCCAGTGAAATTATTTGAGTAAATGGTCATCGGATCAAGAAAACAACAAAAATGTGTCGAGCTTTCATCAAATATTATAGCATCCTCAGGGTCTAAATAAAACAAAATATAATATTTTGAAAACATATTATGTTTTTAATACCGCATGGCTCAGATGGCAAATACTTTCTTCAGATACACATTATTAATATTAATATATTTATAGTAATGGTCCCATGGAATTCTATGTATCACATGTGATTGAGTGTCTGATTTTTCTTTAGATTTAAGTTGGGAGTATAAGCAATCATATTTATAACTGATTAGTACATGAGGGATATGTTCTTTAAACTAGTATTTTAATTTTGAGGAAATGTCCTTCACATAGGTAATTGATTTTGTCATTGTAGAGTTGTCAAAAAAAATTTGGTTTTCAATCCCATTTTCATTTGGAAATATTTGTTCTGTGTCTAAAGTGATCAGTCTATTTATCAAAGGTGATACTTAGTAGGGTAGTTACTTATTTTTAGAATATCTTTTATTTTTGCTGTTTTCGAGGAACATTATGTTCTATGTATAGTGTGGTATTGTAATAGATATATGATAGGTATGTACCATGTGTTTCATTTTTGTCACAACAGCAAAAAATGCCTTTTGCATTTATTATTGATACAGCCATGCAATGTATGTAGGGGTATTTCATTTTTAAGTGTAACATAAACATGTCAAATTATTTTTATACTATCATTTTTCATAATGAATAAGCTAATAGAGAATTAAATACAAATATAAAGTCATGTATAACAAAAATAATTATATTTGATATTTCAATTTACTAAGAGAGAGAAAAATAGTATTAATCTACTTTAAAGTTTCTTGAACTGTTACTTAGTGAAAATGAACTATCTGCTACCCACAAGTAGCTGATTCATTATTTTAATGGGGTGTTCAAACAAATTTCCTTCTGTACCAACAAAATAACCCAGCCACTCATAAAATGGTACCTGTTTTTTTCTCTTTTTTTCCTTTTTTTTTAATGAGGGTTTGTAACTTAACTAACTAACTCATATAAATCACTCGGTCAGCATTTTCAAAAACTTCAAGATTACTATAAATTAAACTGGAGAAGGAGAGAGAGAGAGAGAGAGAGAGAGAGAGAGAGAGAGAGAGAGAGAGAGAGAGAGAGAGAGAGAGAGAGAGAGAGAGAGTGAGAGAGAGAGAGAGAAAGAGAGAGAGAGAGAGAGAGTGTGAGAGAGAGAGAGAAAACCCAGCAGCCAGCAAAGAGACTTACAAATTTTGGGCAACACTGATGCAAACAAAAGGAAAACTAACATGTAACTAATTGATCTATTAATAAAGTTTAAAAAAAAGATAATTCTATGTATTTTATGGTAGTATTGTATAGTGTACAGTTATATGTATTGCTTGAGTCTGACAAATGTATTTGTCATCCTTATATTTTGTTCTAATTAGACCCCGAAGAAGTTATTATATGTATATTACAAAAGCTTGGCATGTTTTTGGTGTTATCTTCATCCAATGACCATTTATCGGATCCTCACTCAAACAATAATTCTGCTTGCATACTAATTATAAAATGAGTATAAAATTTCTCTATCTTGTCTATCAGCTGTTAAATGTGAAATTACTCATAGTATGTTACAAATCATTTTGATCAACCTCACTGGGTTTATTGTCAGACACACTTGGCATTTCATCTTCAGTTCTGGCTAGGTTGACACACTGAGAATAGTGGAATGCCGAACCACATCTGACAGATCAACTCAGTAAGGATAAAAAAACTACATTGTTCAGTAATGACCAAATTTCAGTCACAGCAGTGTTTAAAAAAAAGTCTGTTTAAAAGTATTTCATAATTTGTTATTTTTGTTTCACTGAATAAGCATGCACTTAGTCCTTTTTTTATTATTATTTAGTCTTAGGCATAATTAAATATTTTATATAAGGCATCAATGGAACTGGACATGTGGAAGCTTTCCAGAACATTAAAACTCCTGAATAATCCTGAATGAAAGTTTTTTTATAATTGTTTTGCTGTAGTTATTTTGATTCTAGAAGATATTTGGTCATAAAGTTAATTATTATGTAAAAAGTGTTCTGCTTTTCCATCTAATTTTTTATCATTGCTTTAAAATAGATTATATAATATTAGTAAATGACTCTCCTTTCATTAGAAAATTGTTGTAGTTTTTATTTATTTTTTTCTTATATATTGGGTTGTCCGGAAAATAATGCAGGATTTTGGTATTAAACAAAAAAAAAGAAACTAGTTACTTTAAAGCAATGTTCTTTAATCAAAATAATTTCCCATACTCTCAATACATTTCTCCCAACGTGTTGGTAACTTATTAATTCCGTCTGAGTAGAATTCAGAATTTTTAGAATTGATAAAGTCAATAAATGCATTTTCCAGTTCCGTTTGATTTTTGAATATTATGTGTTCTAAGTAGTGGTCCAGGTGTCTAAAAAAATGGTAGTCAGTAGGCGAGAGGTCCGGAGAGTAGGGTGGGTGAGGCAAAGTTTCATAGCCAAGCTCCAATAATTTTTGTGACGTTACACGTGACACATGTGGTCGAGCGTTGTCATGCAACAAAATGGGCCCTTTCCGATTGACCAAAGAGGGCTTCATTACTGCCAATTTCTGATGCATGGTATTAATTTGGTTACAGTATGATTCAGCATTGATGGTTTCGCCAGGATTTAAGAAGCTGTAGTGTATTAAACCAAATGAAGCCCACCATACCGTAACCATTACCTTTTTTTGATGAGTTGGGAGCTTTGGAAAATGTATTGGAGCTTCTCCTTTGTCGAGCCACTGTCCAGAACGTCTAGTGTTATCGTAGAGAATCCACTTTTCGTCACATGTAACAATTCTGGCCAGAAATGGGTCATTTTTGTTTCGACAAAGAAGTGATGCACAAACATCAAAGCGCTGATTTTTTTGGCGATCGTTTAATGAGTGTGGAACCCAATTTTCGAGTTTTTTCACTTTTCCAATCGCCTTGAGGTGGTCAGCGACGGTCGTTTTACTGACTTTGAGTTGCTCTGCACCCACCACTGATCGCAGAACATCATCATTAAGAGAGGAAGGCCTTCCACGACCTTCTTCATCTTCAAGGCTGAAATCTCCCTCCCGAAATTTTTTAAACCACCTTTGCACAGTGCACTCATTAACACAACCCTCGCCCCAGACTTGGTTAATGTTTCTAGCCGTTTGGGCTCCGCTTCGGCCGAGTTTAAACTCGTAAAAGAAAATCGTACGAAATTCTCGCTTTGACATTATAAGGATGACTGAATTATTTCCAAGTAGCGGAATGCTACAGAGGTAAACAAACAATATCATTTGGAAGAGGATTAATAAGTGTTGACATTCATACAAATGAGTAATCCTGTAAACGTAAACAGAATATTTTATATAGATTTTTTTTAATGAAAACTTAAAATCCTGCATTATTTTCCGGACAACCCAATAGCAAGAGTAATTTCAATGGGTAGAGGAAAATATGCAATATTCTCAATAGACATCTTGTCAAACCATTGTGTTGTGTGTAAAAATAGCTTCTTAATGTAATTTCATTTCAAAAGCCTTGTCCTTTATTTTTAAATACTAATTATATATTATAAAATTTAGTTGTTACTACTTAGGATTCAGTGTGAAATACAATTTTACATAACAATTTTCAGAATAGATCTAAATTTGAGCATTTGATTGATCAAAGTTTTCTTTCATTTTCACAATAAAAAATAAGCTATTTTACTATATGAAACTCAAATAATTTCCCATTAATTTAAACCATAAATACACAGCCTTCACATAAAATATTGGGAATTTAGCCTTATTTATTGTCAAAAAATTGTTTAAATTCCCTATAAAATAATCTTTTCATTAATCTGCAAAAATGTACATAAAAACAAGATAAACTGCACATAGACTTGACTTTCAATTGCTTCATGATTTAATTGTTGAAGATTTTAAAAATGATCCTATATCAATTTAGTTTAGTCACAATTTAAAAATGTTCTTTCATTCATTCTGAAAAGTGTTTACAAATAAACCTTTAGATTTACATATTTAAGCTGAAAAATTGAATAAAAATGTTACTCTGCCACAGGCACTCCGATCTACAGCCGTGGAGGAATCACCAGGAGGCCATTGACTGACCTCTTCTCTCCCAGGAGCTATGTCCCTTTGTCGAGGTACACCAGAGACCCTTGGTGGTGGTCATACCCATCACTTAAGCCGTTTGAATCACTTTATTCAAGACACTCTCCTTTCTATCTGAGGGACAGCTACTTGTCCCCTGTCAAGAATACTTACCTTTGGCGGGATCATCCTTTCCGTGCCTTCTGTAAGTCATTTGGCTAAATTCTGATTAAACCTGCATGTAATAAATAGGGATGGTTTGTGTATTGTCATAACATATACAAGATAAATGTACGTCTTGCATGTCTAAACAGAAAATTCAAAAAATATTAAATTATATCATAAATTACACAAGAATTGATATTCTCGATTGAGCCTCTGACTTGAAATGCATGGTTTGAAAGTAAAAAACAGTTAAGTATTGAATTGTAATTTACTGGCTTATTTGACCTAGCCAATTTAAATTAAAATAAATTTTTAGTGATTATGAAAACTTTTGAACCCCCAAAAAGCATCAAAGAGGGTAACTCGGCCAAAAAGTTTTGTGTGATATTGTTTTTACAAATTTCCTCTTCATCGATTTGTTATGTTGAATTCATTTTCTTGAATTCCAGTGTGTTTATATTATATTTTTAGTGTTTAATTTCAAAATATCTAGACGAAACATGATTTGAAAATCAACTTGTCAAAAACTGTTACTATCAAGTTTCTTCTAAACTATCTTTACTGAAATATGAAATGTTTTCTAATTTACCTTCAATTCCAGGGTGATTGGAATCACAAAGGTTTTCAAACAATGCAGAGAAATAATGCTATAATTATTGCTAATCCCAGCTACAAAAAAGTAAGAGAATGATGAATGATGAAAGAAAGATTTAATTAACTGAATGTTTAGGACATTAGAGATTGAAAAGGAGGTCTGGAATTGGCAAGATGACCTTTACTGTGCAATTATTTAAGACAAATAATATTAACTAGTAAATAATTAGTTCATAGTCTCAGTCACTTAACAAATTTTTAAAAAGAGTAGTGTTGAATAAAGTTAATTTAAATCATTGTGTGGTGTGCATTATTAATTTTGAAAACTCAAGATTTTATTTAATATCTTTATAATAATTTCACAGCTAAACCACTAAATTAATTATTTAATTTATATCATAATTTTTTAACTCTATCCTCCTCCTAAACCATTTATTCCATGAGATGTACGATGTACTGTTAAACAACTACCTCCTCGAAAAACACCAGTGTGGTTTAACTACAACAAAAATATACAAAATTTGCCTAACAGGTTTATTTTACATAAAATACATGATTCATAAGCCAAATAAACCTTCTGATTTTCCTGGTTTCTATTGGCTCATTAGTCTGCTATCCACCGAAGTTCTAGAAAATATTCCATCTCCAAGGATTATTGCACACAATTGAAAATGCCAATATTTTCCCAGATAATTTATTCTTCTATTATCTTCCATTGAACAAAAGCAACATTGCTTGAGTGTCTTTCTTGATTTGAAAGAGGTGATGGAGTCTGTCACTCAGGCTTGGAAACTAAAGAACATCCTCCCTCATGTTAATCTCAACAAACATCCCAGAAGGAAACTGATGTTTTTGGTGACCACATAAGGAATAAACTCAACTTTAATATAATATATAACTTTAATATAAGAGTTATATTTATTTATCAATTCAATTCACAATTTACAAACATGTACAGTAAGTTGAAGACTCAATTGTTGTTAGAGTTGATGATGGGTTTGGGCTGCTAGCTGGTGAATTTTCAATATAAAGTGCAGATATTCCTAAATATGTTAACATTTCAACATATACCTTTACTGATGATACAGCATTCTTACACATAATTCAAACATCTATATAAACACTTAACATATATAACACCTGAATGAGTTAGATGCATGTTTACATTGGTAAAACTATCTGCCTCCAGAGAACATAAATTGAATCCTGTTACCTACTGCTGATCTTGTGTAGGCAAATGACTGAATTCCCACACAAAACAGAAAACAAGAAACAAACCAACATGCAAACTTTTAATTTATTGTAGAAAACAATGATAAGACTTGTCTGGACTTATGATTGTGAAGTATGGGGCTAAACAAATTTCCAATTCTTAACTTCCCCAATATTTTTAGTCAAAATTTCTGCGTAAAACTCTAAATGCTCACTTTTATGTGTCTAATTATACTATTCATTATGACCTTCACATACATGTACAAGACCTATTCATAACCCATTAAAAAAAAATCCTCCAAGACCACAGTGAAATTTAATGGAGCCACTGGACTTATACAAGTGACTCACACAAGTCAATCAACGATACAAGAAAATATTTTATGTTAAAAATTTTTTGTAGATCTAAGTGATAAAAGTTTTCAAAACTAGCTGCAAGGCTTTATAAATAGATGATTAATAAGCGATACAATAAAAATATTAATGTATGTTTCTTAGTGACCTGTGGTTTCGTAGTTTGTTGAAGTTGTGAGAAACGGTAAAAAAAAAAAAAATAATAATAATAATAATTAAAAAACACGACTAATTTTTACCATAGTATATATAAAGTGGAAGGTTTATGGGCTGACAAACAGCTGAGGTCATCGCCGGCCCTCCGCATGTATTCCTTCTCTTTCCTGTCTTTCTCGCGTATTTTGTATTGAACTGCAGCCATTTGAGCATCTCGATCTGGTTACTGACTCTCTGCTTTTACTTGTATATTACGTCGTTCTTTTAAAAAGCTAGCCTCTTGTTAGTACCTCAGGTTGTCAATTTAAGAATAGATACACAACATACATAGTATTTAACCATTATAAGTAGTGTTTATTTAATGTTTTTGCAGGTATTATAATTAAGTGGCAGGACAGGAAAATGTAATAGTTTATTTGAAAATAAATTTGTATTAAATCTTTTATTAGTAAAAAAAATATGAAGCATTTAGAAGCAATGTGCTAACATTTATTTTAATTGAAAAATACAAAACCAACAATTGGAAGATCAAAATGATCAACTTTAGTCACACAGTTTACAATATTTAAAATTGTACATCAAGTAATGGACAAGGAGACAGTAATGAACTTGCAAATTAATGTTATATAATTTATCAGGAAGATTTAACTGTCTCAATTTAGAACCAGAATTTTTTATTGCTATTAGTACAAAACTATGAGCAGTATAAATAAATATCAATTTTTAAATTTAGGCATCTACAATTTTCAATTATGAATATAGGTTTAAAAATTCTAAGATTGTGATTTTTGTTACAGCTACACCCAGGTTGTACTACTAAACTGGATGATCAATAGGGGGAAGCAGTGAAAATTCATCAAAAATGAAATCTCTAAATCAAAATAACTATTTTTGTAAAAAATCCAAAAATTAAACAAGAGACTGCTACTTATTTATTTATTGAAGTTTTAGATTTAAGATTTAAAAAAAAAAATAGGAACAAAACAATTCATTTCAAATAACAAAAAACACTATTCATAACAATAATTAATTAAAATCACCTGTAATTTAAATGTAAAAAAAAGAAAACAGCTTCTTTCTAAATTTTGTTGTTTTATTGCCCTGGCTTATTTTTAACTTAAATAACATAAGAACAAAAATTATGTCTTCAAGATTTTATTATCCAAAAGTGATTATTTTCATAGGTGAACAAGATTTCTAATTGTCCTGGCCAGTATACATATGAAAATCATACAAAAGAAAAGGTTTGTGCCAAAGTCGAGTACTTCCATCGAGTAATCCACAATGATTTCCCTGAAGAGCGTATTCTTATAAATAAATACGTATGATATTTCTACTAGATCAGCTGAACCAATGTGGAAGAAGCACGGAGCCTCGTATGATGGGATCCTTAAGGAAAGGCTTAATTGTGGGCTTGGTTTGTCACCAACAAACATAAGATCTGGGTGAGGGTAATATTCAATCACTAGAACCGTTTTGTAAACTGATCCAAAGGGACTTTTGGACCAACAGTAGTCCCCCTTTGAATGTTTCAATGCATGGATTAACTGGTCATTGAAGCATCTCTTAGTCCCGGACCTTTTCCAATAATACAGTAGAGAGAATACATCCCCGTTGTTGCATCCGATGTATCCGAAATGCTTTTTCAAGATCTGTGACTTTGTCAGTTGGACCGGTGGATCAGAGCACACTTTAAATGCAAAAATTGGATCTGGGCAAAGGGAACTGTCTGTAAAGCAGCTCAGCAAGTCCTCCATGTGTTCCTCAGGAATTTTGATAAAGCGAGGATTCCTCAACCCTACTAACATCCAGAATAACAGGTCTATCAAGTTTGTTGGCACATTTGTCGGATTGGCTACCAATTCTAATTGTAAGGTCTCAAACTTCGGAAGCTCCTCCGGCAATGATATGAGCATCTTTTTAAAACTGTCATCAAACTCTGTATCTATCAGTTCTTCGGGGAGAGATTTAATTGATGACACAAAATAGCTCAACTTCATTTCACTCTCGATTGGATACTTTTTCATCATCAAAAGAACTGCCTGTAACTTATTATCATGAGAGAGGTGACCGACATCGGGCATTTGTGGATGATCAATGACTTCCCCTTCAGACACATTATTCACTACTACAGAGCCTTCTCTCAATGTACACTCTCCTGACTCATTTGGCAATATGAAGTACCTCTCACTCGGATAATCGATCAGTAAATCCATTAGACAAAGTTGGAAATAAAATCTTGCCAAACATAAAACTTTGATTTATCATGAATAATATTCACATACTATGCACTGAACTTTTAAATTTGGTTAATACAAATGATAAAACACTATCACCTGTTCTGTTATTTGACATTACAAGCTGGGCATTAAACATGCACAAACTTTTTTAATTTTTCAAATAATATCAGTTGGCAATATATTCGGTTCAGCATGATGTATTTACTATATATAAGGGTATAGAAGCTAATAATATTAATCTATTTCTTAGTACAGGCTCTAAAATATCCACATGTTGAATTTGTCTCATTATTTAACTATTAAGAAGCCGATTTGTCATCTTGTTTAGTTCCTTGTATAATCTTGTGATTGGACTTCTCAGTTTAAAATTACGGTCTAATGTGTGGTGATTAGTGACCATTTGTTGATGATTATTCAGAAATTGTGAGGTGTGACATCCATCGAAGCCTTTTCAAAATTTCTTATAAATTATTTTTTGGAGATCGTGAGATGCGGTCTGGTGTGACGTAGGTTTTAGAAAAACATTTTCTTTATCGTGCCAACGTTTCAATCTTTATTGTGATAAAGTTCAGGGCTCAAAGTGTTTGATGCATTTTGGCCACTCTAACCATGACACACAATAATGACACATCAACACAGAGAACAAACACTTTGAGCTCTGAAGATGATCTCGCGATTTCTGAATAATTAAGGTCTAAGTCAGTATAATAGTACAAGCTATTTGTTTAGTAGCTTTGTATTATTTAGTTATAACTAAAATTATTTTACTAGATTTTTATCTGATTTGATTTTGAAAAATTAAAAAAAATCCTATTTTTCTCTTAAGAAAAGAGATCATATTGATACTAAGAATAGGTCATGTAAGGTTGACACATGGACACTTACTTTTGAGCCAAAGCCCACATTGTGTTCAGCATGCAAAGAAAGGTTGCTCAATGTGTCCGAGTTAATAGAAGAATGTCATTTTTTAGTAGTAATGCTACCCAACATGAAAATTGCACTTGAACACCACTTCAAGCCTTTAGGTCCCCTGTTCCAATATTCAGATGTTGTTTTATTCTTTTTATTTTTATTACTACTTTATATTATTTTTATTACTTTTGAGATATCTCGGTTTGTAATAATAATAGTAACACTTTATTAGAATTGAAAAATGCAAACAAATGTTAATAAGCATGGCTAATAGCTGTCTGCTTGTTTTGGGTTTCCTTTATGGATAATTTGAGAGTGATTTAATTATTAGTGAGAAGTGCAGTCTGAAAGAGGCATTGATGAAAAAATTAAGTATGCCATAGACCATTAAATAAATTAGTTAGATATGGATAGTACCATTGGGTAAAATGGATGGAGGAAATTGAGTACTCCACCTACTGGTGAAATAATTCAGTTAATAGGAAAAAATGAATTTATGAATGTGTGAGAGTGTGGATTTAAAAATAGCATCAGGGTCTGAAATGACCTAGCTGTTGACAGCTAGAGCCTAACTTTGGTGTGATGAATAAGACCAAGGTCTGACCTCGAACTGCCAAAACACGAGGTATGGGATTTTCAGAGAAGCCATAAATTGGATTCCATACAATGTGTATTGTCAGAGGGCATCCTTGCATATTAGCCATAGAGGGAGCATTCAGAAAATCCCAGTGGCGACAGTGTGAATCGAACTCACAGCTGCAAAGTCTATAAGTCTGTCACACTAATCACTCGACTACCATGATCCCGAATGTGCAGAGTGGAGCTTAGATTATATACAAGCTGGCTTCTTTACAACCTACCACGACTGGTATTCATCTATTGTTTTTTTATATAGAGCTCCTCATTTAGCTGAGGCTTTTTACAGAACCCAAAGCTTTTTCAAGAGCTCCCCGGATTAGGAATCTCAGCCTACATAGGCCTTCACAACGGAGGATATGTTCCTCTGTTTCTTCTTCTTCTTCTTCTTCTTGGCAATATCTGCACAGGCTTGTTTCTGCCACTTTGAGTCCATACATGTGTCTCTGGAGTTTGCAGTCAGCAGTCCAACTACCATTCTAGACCTAGCACGTCCTAGATTTAGTAGTTCTGCTGTTAGTTTCTGCGATGGTCCTTTGATAAACTTTTTTACATGCCTCTGACCTGGGCTACAGTCCCATTGAATGGAGGACTTATTTTTAATCTGTTGCCTAATGGATCCACATTTTTGGCACATTTTGGTATGCCTAAAATAGTGGAGCTATATAAAACAGTAATCAGTAAAAAATTGATTAAGTGCACCTCAACTTTAATTTTTATATGTGAGTAGCTCTTTAAACCAGTTGCGAATGCAGAACATTACAGCAGTAGTTTGAGAAATATATTTCTAGACATAATACTAGATTTAACAGTTCTGCTGTTAGTTTCTGGGATGGTCCTTTGAGAAACTATTTTGCATGTCTCTGTCCTGAGCTAAATTCCCATTGAACAGAGGACTTATTTTTAATACATTGTCTAATGGACCCACAATTTTGGCAGTTTGGTATACAGTTAGGTATTTTGGCCTTAAAGAGTAGAGCTTATATAAATGAGTAATCAGTAAAAAAAAATCTATTAACTGCACTTCAACTTTAAGTTTTATATATAAGTAACTCCTTAAACCAGTTGCGAGTGCAGAACTTTACAGCAATAGTTTGAGAAATACATTTCTAGATAAAATCCACTATATCAGTATTACTTTTATATAGTTACTTCTCAGAAGAAAATAATTTAAAATTGAACAAGCATATTTGGTAATGTATAGCATTGTTGAAAAAAATTTTCCTTTCTATTTTTACAGCACAGAAGTCAGTCAAATATCACCATTTTTCTATAATCAGTAGTTGTCCATCTTGTCTGAGCAGGATGGTGCAAAACAATAGACTTGTATTAGTTAAAAATAATAACCTGGTGAAAGTTAGTGAGTTGTGCGCAGTCAACACAGAAGTTTTATTGCATAATGAAATATTTATGATATACAGGCTACATTTACATTGATATTACTATTTTTTGAAATTGTGAATTTAACCATCTATTTATTTTAAGAAATAGAACTTAAAAAACTGACTAAATATGTGTTGGGGTTTTTATTATAAAAGTAGGTGGCAAGGATACTATACTAAACAGAAATTTATAGACTTATGTATAAACTGCCCAAAAGTGCTCAGTAAGTTGTAAAATTTTATTTTATTTCTTAAACTGTTTTGTTTTAAATATTTCCAAATTTTCACATATGAGACAATAGTTGTTCAAATTTTTCACCATTACACTATTGTTTGTTGACACTGCACATATTCGTATATTTATTAGTTCTTTTATTAAAAGTTGTCAGCATAATGAGACAGATGGAGCCTAACTGTGAACTTCAACCTTCTGAAAACTTGGAATTGGGAAGAAATAAGCATTCAATTCTTCTGGACAGGGAGCATTCTTCTATTGAACAAGTAAGAGATGCCATTATTAAAGTTATGGACCGTGATGTAAAAGCAGTTGATTTAAAATTCACCCTCTACAAGGCAGCTTGTGATAAGCTACTGCCGAAAAATCAACTAGATCCTTGTCCACCCATATTTACTACAAGCGATCCAATGGAAGCTAGGAAGATAATGTTACATTACAATGAGCTGCTGCCAGGCATGCCATTTCTAAGACATTATTTACGACACCCAGATAAATTTGAAATGCCCATTGAAGTTTTTGAGATAATCATGTGGTTAGTGTTAGACTTACAGGAACCAGATATCAAATCAGTCCAGCCAAGGTATTACAGCAACATTATCAACATGGTTGCTCCGGGAAACAATCTCAAAGCACCGTCCATTATTTTCAATCTAACTTTTTCAAAAACATCAAATTACGAATTCCACTGGCATAGGAAGTCATTTCAAAAATGGACGAAGTACGGATTTTACCCTTGTAACATGGAAGACCTTCACAGCATGATATACAAAGATTTGATCGTAACTACCAACTTAAAGTCTCAGTTCAAGTGGAATACTCAAAAAGTAACTCTATACACAAACTTGAGTTATTGCTTGAATAAAGCTCCACAATCTTGGACTTGGGGTAAAAGCTTAATAGGGACAAACATCAAATCGATCTGCATTGTTGAATTTATTGATCATCCAGGTTATGCAAAAAAAGTCATTGTGTCTAAGAAAATTAAAAGTGACACTGGTTCCCAAGATATCGAGTTGAAAAACTATGAAATTATCCATCCGGAATATGCGAGAATTAAGTACATACTTCTTTATGTCTACAACTCCCAAACATTAAGCAACCAGCCAAAATATAGATGGTGGGAAGGCGAGAAACAGTTTCTAGTCGCTTGCACTCTTGCACTGGCTTTTCTGGCAGGATGCACCGTTGGGCGTCTGCTCCGTGGAAAATTTTCGTCTTCGACATGAATTATTGTTTGTCACTTGTGAAATGTGCTAATATTGGAACAAAAAGGCTTAAATAAAATTTACAAATAATCCATTGTTATAAGTATAATTAAACCAGCTGACTAATTTTCTTTCACTGGAATAAAAATACACTTAACTATGTATTTTGATTCTGCTAGATGTTAGTGTTTAATATATTATAATGAAATATATAAAATTAAACAAATTATGTCATGGCCACTTTTATAAAATTTAGAAAATTATATTACAACATCTTAAGCTAAATTGTTTTTTTAGGCAATATCTTATATTGATAACTTAATTGAAAACAAGTAATAGTTAAGTGATAAGTTTAAATAATTTGTAATGAAAATATTTCCATATGATTTGTTAGTTTTAGAAAAACTTGTAAATTTTCCACTGTTCAGAATAATAATTAATATTTATCGCCTAAATAATTGGGTCAAAATTGCACACATCTTATTATAACTGGGCAATTGTGGAATATTAAGTACCAGATACTTGAGCTGTTTTATGCAAAAGTGGTGCAAGTGAAAAAATCACCTTTTGAACAAATTTGATGTTTATGGGTAGTTTTGTAAATTTTGAGCTACTGAGTAAATTTCCATTTTTTACTACAGTGGCACTTCGGTATAGAACTTTTCTAACTATTTAGGCACTTTTCAGTAGTAATCAATTAGATATGAATGAATTACTACACCACAAATTGACTTACACCTCTTTTGCATAGAACTTCCTTTTAGTCTCTCAGTTCCCAGTTAATGCCGACCATATCTTGTTTACAGATGGCTCCAAAATTGAATATGGATCAGGAGCTAGGATTTATGATAATAAACCAAGGATTAGAATTCATATAAGTAGTGGACAATATGCCACCGTCTTTCAAGCGGAAACTGGGGCTATTGAACACTATGCTAGAGATAAAACGGTTCAAGGGTATTGTCAATAGAAGAATAGCCATCTACTCGGACAGCCAGTTGGCACTGAAGGCAATTGCCGTATCGGCGGTAAAGTCCAGTTGCTTGGGACTAAATTAGGGCTCTGTCAGACATTGGGGGAAAAAACAAAATTACCCAGGGCATACAGGGCAGAGGGGCAACGAAGTGGCTGATAAATTGGCCAAAGAAAGTTTGATGATACCTATTGGCCCAACCCTTTTTTGGCTTACCAAACTTCCAAAAACGTGCATCCATTAGACATTGGATTAAAAATAATTCCTCCGTTCAATGGGAATTTAGCTCAGGACAGACATGCAAACTAGTTTATCACAGGACCATCACAGCAGAAAATAACAGCAGAACTACTAAATCTAGGACGTGTTAGGGCTAGAATGATAGTTGGACTGCTGACGGCAGACTCCGGAGACACATGTATGGACTCAGAGTGGCAGAAACAGCCCTGTGCAGATATTGCCAAGAAGAAGAAGAAATAGAGGAACATGTCCTCTGTTGTGAAGGACTATGTAGGCTGAGATTCCCAATCCTGGGATAGGAAAAGCCGAGGATTGAAGGATTCACATGGGAAAACCTTGAAAAAAGCTTTGGGTTCCGGTAAAAAGCATTAATTTCATAATTTCATCAGCTAAATGAGGATTAAAAAAATGGATCACAATCGATGAATAATAGTTTCGGTGCGCAAGTCATAAATAGGTTGGCTCCTATATAATCTAAGCTCCAGTCTGCACGTGGGGGACATTGGAAGTTGAGTGATTAGTGTGTCAGACACTTGTAGACCCTGCAGCCATGAGTTCGATTCCCACTGTCACCACTGGGATTTCCTGAACGCTCCCACTCTTGCTAATATGCAAGGATGCACTCTGACCATAGATATGTGAACGGGACAAACATCACTTCTCTGAAAATCCTACACCTCATGTTTTGGCAGTCTGTCAGACCATGACCTTATCTGTCACACCAAAGTCAAACTCTAGCGGCCGTCAACAGATAGTTCATTTCAGACCCCAATGTTGTTTTTACATCCAAACTCACACACTCGTAAATATATTCTTTCCTATTAACTCAATTATCTCACCAGTAGATGGAGCACTCAATTTCTTCCATCTCATTTTACACATTGGTACTATCCATATCTAACTAATTTATTTAATGGTCTATGACATACTTAATTTTTCCATAAATGACTACCTATTGGCCTGAAGTATACACATGGGAGCTCTTGAAAAAGCTTTGTGGTCTTGTTAAAAGCCTTAAGCTTAAAGAGGAGCTCTAAATAAAAAATAAAAAAAATGAAAATGCACAATAGACCAATACTACCCATGGTGCACAGGTCGTAAAGAGGATTAGATTATCAAATCTCTAATCTAATCTAGTTACTCACATAAAAAATAAAATAAAAACTGTATAAAAATAACAAAAATTAAAAAACATTTTCCAGAATAGGTATGTAAAATGTTTTACAAAGCCAAACAGCAAAAATGGTTGCATATTTGACAGTTCTCTTTCCGTTTCCTAATATTTTCCTAATTTACAACACAATAAATCACAAAACTTACATAAATATTTAACAAATAATAGTGAATTAATGTTTTACCTTTTTTACTTACCTTTACCTTTTTTCTTATTTTAAATAATTGCTGAAAGCATACAAATGGGGTTCAATCTCAGTAGATTGATATCCGGAGGGTCTCTTCTACACGAGTGCAAAACCACAAATGTCTAAATTGAAGCTAAGGTTTTTATACCCTTCCAAACGTGCTCCACTACCCGCTGAATAGACTACGCCAGTAGATTCAGGGAGGGGACCCTATGCCATGGCATCCGTCAGTAGCAGACATGTTAAGAAGTTAATCTTAACTAAAAGAGAAAGGAAAAATAAGGGAATACAAAAAATATTTAATAATGTATTGGGTTGTCCGGAAAATAATGCAGGATTTTGGTATTAAACAAAAAAAAAGAAACTAGTTACTTTAAAGCAATGTTCTTTAATCAAAATAATTTCCCATACTCTCAATACATTTCTCCCAACGTGTTGGTAACTTATTAATTCCGTCTGAGTAGAATTCAGAATTTTTAGAATTGATAAAGTCAATAAATGCATTTTCCAGTTCCGTTTGATTTTTGAATATTATGTGTTGTAAGTAGTGGTCCAGGTGTCTAAAAAAATGGTAGTCAGTAGGCGAGAGGTCCGGAGAGTAGGGTGGGTGAGGCAAAGTTTCATAGCCAAGCTCCAATAATTTTTGTGACGTTACACGTGACACATGTGGTCGAGCGTTGTCATGCAACAAAATGGGCCCTTTCCGATTGACCAAAGAGGGCTTCATTACTGCCAATTTCTGATGCATGGTATTAATTTGGTTACAGTATGATTCAGCATTGATGGTTTCGCCAGGATTTAAGAAGCTGTAGTGTATTAAACCAAATGAAGCCCACCATACCGTAACCATTACCTTTTTTTGATGAGTTGGGGGCTTTGGAAAATGTATTGGAGCTTCTCCTTTGTCGAGCCACTGTCCAGAACGTCTAGTGTTATCGTAGAGAATCCACTTTTCGTCACATGTAACAATTCTGGCCAGAAATGGGTCATTTTTGTTTCGACAAAGAAGTGATGCACAAACATCAAAGCGCTGATTTTTTTGGCGATCGTTTAATGAGTGTGGAACCCAATTTTCGAGTTTTTTCACTTTTCCAATCGCCTTGAGGTGGTCAGCGACGGTCGTTTTACTGACTTTGAGTTGCTCTGCAAGTTCTCGAACAGTTGTTTTGGGGTTTTCTTCCACCACTGATCGCAGAACATCATCATTAAGAGAGGAAGGCCTTCCACGACCTTCTTCATCTTCAAGGCTGAAATCTCCCTCCCGAAATTTTTTAAACCACCTTTGCACAGTGCACTCATTAACACAACCCTCGCCCCAGACTTGGTTAATGTTTCTAGCCGTTTGGGCTCCGCTTCGGCCGAGTTTAAACTCGTAAAAGAAAATCGTACGAAATTCTCGCTTTGACATTATAAGGATGACTGAATTATTTCCAAGTAGCGGAATGCTACAGAGGTAAACAAACAATATCATTTGGAAGAGGATTAATAAGTGTTGACATTCATACAAATGAGTAATCCTGTAAACGTAAACAGAATATTTTATATAGATTTTTTTTAATGAAAACTTAAAATCCTGCATTATTTTCCGGACAACCCAATAGAATATATTTTTCATAAAAATATAAATCCATAACAACTGATGGCAAAAATGTCATTATTGTATAATAAAACAATTCATTGAACAAAATCAACTTAAATTTCAAATAAATGCAACAAATATACCATTGTGGAAAAAAATATTACAATAAAGGTGATGACAACAGCTAGTGATTAGTTAAAAATGAATAGTTATATTCATCTTTTATCACAGAGATTGTGTTTTCATCAAGACAATAATTTAATTATTGCAGTAAAAACAGGTTATTTATGGACCAGTAGTGTTTTATTAACATAAAACACCGTTGTTTTTTTTTTTTTAATGTTTATAAGTATCACTGCTCTATATAGTGAGTAGTATCAACTGCCCAATATTTTTTGGCCTTTTAAAATATTACAATAGAAACACATTCAGTCATAATTCATACTTCTACTTATAAATTATTAAGTAAACAGGTGTAAAAATAAAGAAATGACTAAAACGACAGCGGCACCCATGATACCATATAGTATAAGATTTGTATTATCACTTTTTTTATCCGTTCCCAAGTGGTTTGCTTTTTGTTCTCCTGTATCCATCTTTGGTTTTAATTTCCCTGCTGAAATTTTTTATTTAAAAATAAAGCTATCTAAAAAAGCCAAAAGTTACTTACTGTACGGTCTTTCAAAGCAGTCAATCAAATCACTTATAGGTACTAAAATTCCAAGATGCAGCTGAAGATTTGATGCAATATCGTTAATTGTCTCGTTTTTATAAATGTAGTCTGAAAACGTGAGACCGGATCTTTTATCTTTAAATAATATTCTGCGTGGAGGTTCATGTACCTCTGTGAATTAAACGAACAAATAAAATATATTAATTATCTTTAATCAGAATTGAATTGTCATACTGTTGTTTTCATCTGTCAAATCAAAAGAATCCCAATGCATTTCTAGTCTTGATGCAAGTGATCTAAGTATATCCTGTTTCACAGCCTAAAAAATGAAATTTTTAATACAAAATGTATTAATTAGAGAACATTTCTAAATCACATACTAAGACTGTTTCATCGACTGTAGCGTTTTCATGAAGAAACACCTGGCTTCCAATAATCCCGTCAAAAACCATTTCTCCGTAAGTCATCTGCACAACCACTTTAGAAGCCATATCTTCAGGCGGTTCCTAAGAAAGAAAAGAATTGTAATTGCCTAAGAAGACCTAATTTTTAAAACAAATTCATACAGTCAATGAATACATGAAGACTTTAAATGAATCATCTTTCTCTTTTGTTTTTCGTTGTTGATCTGTTAACATCTTTATATCCTGTAGAGTGTCAGTGTTTTTTCTAAAAACGCCATTAACAGTGCAAATCGTTGCATCAATTTCTTTCCTTATTTTCTGTAACTTATCCTAAACAAAAAGAAAAACAACTTAAGTCAATATAAATCGAGAGAATAATAGAAGGATGAAGTACCTTTAAATATACAATCACAGGCTTTGGAGTTTCATCTACGATTTCATAAGGCTCAAAACGGTTCAAGCTGTATGAAGACTCAACTTTATGCCATACAAACTGAGAATTTTGAAATTTCCAATCTGCATTAGCAAAAGCCATGCTTGAATCAATGCTTTTGCAGGCAAATCTATGAAATAACATTGTTTATAAATGCATCACCATCTTGTAAAATTGTTTAATAATTACTGTTTGCTTTTTGAATTGTAATGAAAGACCAGTTTATAGTTTCCAGGTGGGTCGCCGAACAGGCATTCATTCCGTGCAGTACTCTTATTTATAAATGACATTATCGACCGGACCTTGTTCAAAGTTTTTTCATTGTTAAAAATATTTTCTGGGCTTGAAAAATACAAACCCAAAATCCACATTCCACCAGGGAGCATTCGAGACACCTTTGGAAAAAAGAATATAAAATAATAACCTTTCGTTGAATCTTTTCAAACGAAAATTAAGCTGATGTTATATTTATTTTGTATCAATTTAATGATCCAATCATTCTCATATTTCTGCTACCAAAATGTTTGTAGTTGTTATAGGAAAAAAAAGAAATTATATTTTGGACAAAACACGTAAATAAATTGATATTTGGAGAGTTGGAATTATTTTGTGAACACGAAAAAACACCCAATAGAATGAATGAGAGTACATTCACACTCCTAATTTAAAAACTACTTATGTTTTGGGGTTGTTTTCACTAGTAAGTTTGTAACAAAGTAAGAGCATGTCATCTAATTGACAAATAATCACAGCATAAGTCTAGGACTAAGTAATCAATTTGTTAAGAAAGTTTTTTTTTTGGTCAACTTACATTTTCTGTGTGGAAGGTGAACCATGTGTCATCGAGCTCTAATATTTCACTGACACACCTTAACTCCAACGGCTTTCCATTAGTTACCTCCGTTTTAATCGGCCGGCCATTTTCTTCTGGTACCGGTGTCACTGTCAAATGAACAACTATATCCTTTTTTGGTGTTCGCTAAAAAAAAGAAATAAAGTTTTTTTTTTGCCTTCAACCACTACGGGTCATTTAGACCAGGAGTCCAACTATTGTTCTGGTATGAATATGGAAAGGAAAAGAGGAGCCCGCGCATGAGCACCATCCCCTGGACAGACAGACACGGACAAGCACCTCAGCTTTTAACGGAATCATTCCTCCTTGTATTTATGGGCATTTTGTGAGGGATATGTATAAAAACCATTTACAAATGTGCTATGGAAAAATGAATAAAATCCCCCCCCCCTTTAGTTTAGTAGTAGTTTCTACATAAAGCCTAAACAGTTATTACTGAAATTCTGTTATTAGTCGTAATGAAAGTATGAAATAATAGTTAGGACTTAATTTTGTTTTTCAATCTGACTATATAATGATGAAAGCTTAATTTTTTTAAATATAAAAAATTACTGAATATGACGAGTTATTTTTTTAAACTTATTTTTGACTTAAGATCTGTTTTACTATTACACTATTTGTGAAAAAGGGGGTTTGATTATACAGATCATGAGACCAATTACTAAATAATCATTTTTAAATGTTACTGCTAAAGATAAGACTAAATGGTTCATTTATTTGTTTACTTTTTCTTATTTCTGACAGTGAGGGAATTCAATCGTTATGTGATCCCATGACCCTCAATTAACACAAGACCACTAACAACCTTGTCTACTGTTCATATCTTACTTTAAAAGTGCTTTTAAAAAGAAAATCTCTGGCATGTTTTCACATTAGTTCAATGTGCTGCTCAAAAAAATCAGATTTCTCAATAATCTGTAGAGATATCTGCCGTTTTTCTTAAATTAACTATTGATGAAATAAGGTATTTAATATTTTATCTGCAAGGAAGTTAAAATTTATATGAAAAACAAAAATTGCAGATAATCGGCTTACTAATGATTTTGTCATTTCTGCTTGTAACAGTTAAGCAAATCGTTTGATAAATTAGACCCAACTTACAATGGCAACACATATTATTGGCTTTATCTCTTGTTACCTAATGTTAGCCATAAAAGGTACTCAATAATGTGTGACAAAGAGAGCTGTTATTTTGCAAGCAATTTGGTTAATTCTACCACGCTTAATTATAAAAGAAGAAAACGGTTAGACACTTAAATTTTTTAAATTGTACTAAAATGATTTGTAATAAAATATTTGCCAAAAATAAGTATTGCCTTAAACGAAAAAAGGAACATTGTACATAGTTTTTATGTAATATTAACTCTGTTCATATTTTTCCTTATTCAGCCACATTATACATAATTCAAAGACCATAGATAGAAAAATGTCTAATGATTGTATCATTTACACTAGCCCTACTGTATAAAATCATTTTAGAAATAATTTTTGTAGAATTGTAACAAGTCATTTATGCTAATAAAATGTTTGCCAATAGGATATTTTATATCAACGTAACACATGTTTTCCAGAGAGCTTGGTGTATCATTTATGATGACTGATTTAATTTTTATTCCTTCATTACTTGTTTTGTAAATAAGATCTTTCGACAGCTGTTAATTTGGCCTATTTTTTGTTGTTTACCTTAGCTTTTGGTCTTACAACTAAGACTACAAGTGTTTTCACTTGTTCCCTTTTAACAGTTGAAAAACTGCTCACGAAATATTTCAACATTTATGTGTGAAAAATTTATACACAAATGTATATATATTATTAAAAATCTTTACTTTGATTTTTATTTTCCTTAAGCTTTTTAAAAATATATTTATAAACTTATCGACAACAAGCGTGCAATACTTACAACTTAAAAAAAAAAAAATAATAATAATAATAATTTCTAATTAGTAATTGTGGCTATCTTTATCATTTTAATGTCTGGATTGTGAAGACTTTTTAAAAAATATCTATCTGTTTGTTGTCGTCATTGCCAAAATATCAGTTTGATGTTTTGAATACCATTCACCTTAATTTACAAGAGGGAAGAGAATGTGTGAAAGGTTGAGTGCAATGGAGTATTTGCATGTGAAGTCAGATGGAAATGGCACAGTGTAAGAATACAAACTAAGATATCAAATTAAAAAATATTTGAATCCTGAAATATCATGAATAGGAGGTCCTCAGAAAACAAAATTAGACTCACCAAACAAATGAAAAAACAAGGGATACTCTTGGAATAGTATATTTTCACCATATTAATTTATAATAAAAATTAGAAATGTTTTTATTCTGTACTAATAAATCATTTATCTCATTGGTGTTTGAATACAAAATTTGGGTTGCTGCTTCTGCATTTAAATGGTGTGTCTGCAGCATAATTGGACACAAATTCATAAAAATATTGAAATTTAACTGCAAATAGTGAAGATTTCTTTCAATTGAGTAATAATTGCTAAATCAATTATTTTCTGATAGAATAGGACTAAATACCTCCTAATTATATTTTGTCACCTTGCAGATTGGTATATACCAAAGTTTGCAACTGATGTAAATTTTTTTTTCAGGATTGTGATTTTAATGTTTAGTCCTTTGGGACAAATGCAATTTTTGTAGTAACAGTTTTTTTATTAGGCTCACATTTCAGCAAATCCAATGTAGTTGTCCTAGTAAATTGGTTTTTAAATTTATTCAATTACATCTGGACTTTCTGGTGTTCATTATGCACCAACATTTATCTAGTTTTTAACATGGCTTTAAGGCACTTTCAGATTATTTATACCACATACATTTATTCAGATATTTCATGTATAACTGTGATTTGCTAGATGTACAAAATGGGATATTAAGTCGTATTAAAAACCATTATGTTTTACAGGTGATGTAACACAATTTCACTTGTAACTAACGAAACAAATACTAACGCAAATAAGTTAAAAAAAATATCTTTTTGTCGCACCTAGACAAATATTCGTTGGAGTTTACAAATAGAGCAAAATGTTAAAGTAACTTTCCAAAATGTCCAAAAAGACACATTGCATTTAAATTGAAATTGTTTCCTTCTTGTCTTAAAGAAAGAAACAGTTTGTCTGGCCTAAAGACATATTGGAATTATCTCATTTTGGCAAAAATTTGACTTTTCCTGTTTGCAAGATTTTGGGAATTCCATTCAGGACAATTTGTGGTGAAAGTTGTTTATTACAATATATAAAGTTATATCCTATCTAGTCCCACTTTCTCCAAAGCATATCAAACATTTCTTACATTTAAAATTACCAATAGTAAATGTGATATTATTAGTATGAGCTAATTTACTGTTTTTATTTGAATATTTTTAGTTTTAATTCTTGTGATTTTGTCTGCTTGATTATTCATTATTAAAAAAGACATGACATATTGCACAATTAATGATATAAAACTTTTATATTTGCTCTAGTGTCCATCTAATAGTGACGATATAATAAAAATAAAGAAATAACTACATGCATCATCAATTATGTATGACCCAATGACCCCGATTAATGCAAAACTGACACACATAAATTTATTGCTTATTTAATGCAAAAATTTTTTCATATTGTTACTTGGCTATTAAAAAGATATGCATGACTTGTTCTTTTTATTTCAAATGTTTCCTGGTTACTTAAATTTTTAAGTTTAATAAATAATATATTCCATTAAGTAATATATAATAAAATTATGAGTAATATAACATAATAAAATTTCAAATGAAATGCTTAGAGTAGAAAATTAAATTGGCAAGTTTTTGTAGAATTTTTTGTAATCAAGGCATATGGAACAGATCTGACATAAGGCATAAGGATAGCATATTTGTCATTAATTTATTTTTAATAATGAACATGGAAATAACATTTGGGTAGTTTTTAATTATTATTATCATATTATTTATAAGTTAAACAAAAAAAAGCTCAAGAGACATGCAAAAATATACCTGTCCCACAATCAAACCAGAAGTGACACCACCTTCAACACATGAGATGTTTGTAAGGTGGGCCAGAAGTTTCTCATCGGCGTAGACGGGCAATGACTTTACCATGATGACGCTGGGCTGATAAAAAACCGCCTCAAAACAGACAACAACAGACAACAAGAAACGCGTTCATGACAGCAAGAGAGCATGTGCTGCAAGTTGTCACTTGTAAAGTTTCTCCTACCCACTTCCAGGCAGCAGTTCGCACCATGCCACCATGTGGCGACCTCGTCACCCTTCTCCTTCTACACGACCGGAACGTTTTCGTCACTGCTAGGGGAACAAAATATACTGTCTAAAAATATCCCATAAAATGTCGATTTTGCTTTAGCCCTTGGGTTTAGTGCAAGCAACCATTTCAGCATGTCCATTTGCAGACTAAGATCATAACCGTAGGGCAGGATTAATAGAAGTGTTACCGGAAACCAAGATTATACAACTCCATTTAAAACATCCTCATAAACTTTAAAAGATTTAAAGACTTAGATTTATCAAGGTAGCTAAAAAGTCTTGTGTATTGCGACTATCAAGTAGGAATACTATGCTCCTCCTCGGGCTATTTCTCACTCAAAAACACCTTCATGCTTTTTATCGTCCTCCATCCTTGATAGCCCATAAGTTATACATGCAGAATTGAGCTTTTCTTTGACCACGAATAGAAATTTTATCCCACAGTTGACTAAATAATAACTGTAATGTGTACTGATTTTTTTTTCTTATCACAATGATCAGCAATGATCAATTAAAAGACCTACCAGACTCGGATTTTAGTGTAAACCTTGTAGGTCTAATGTAAGTTTAGCAGAGACTTTTATAACTAAATCTTCGGGGTTTTGTTCAATCAGTTTTGTTAACTTGATCCATTAGGAAATCGCTAGTTAGATAGATAGAAATAAAAATATCCCGTAAAATGTCGATTTTGCTTTAGCCCTTGGGTTTAGTGCAATCAACCATTTGTATTAGTCTGAGTGGATATAATAGTGCGCCCTTTAAGAACTATATCCTTAATAGAGATCATAGAGGCGAAATTAATATAGATATCCTGTATCCTCCGTTTTGTGCTTAAAGCTCACGGGTAAGTCCTAGTTCACCAAGGAACTTGATTAATAGGCCCGGTTTCAGTGGTTGAATCTCTTCTTCGGTTACGATGTATATCCCAAAACACTTACACCTGCGGCATGTGTAGCACCACAGTTTGCTTGTAGGTGTATTGGTGCTCTGCTTTTCTGCAGAATCTGCACGTGCCGTGTTGGGCTATGCCAATCTTCTTCAGAGGTCCATTTAGTTTGCAGTTTACTGTTTAGAATTCTGTTAGGATTCGCAGTTTTTTCCTGCTTCCTTTAATACATTCTGTTACCTCTTTCCTTCCAAAGGTTGTTAGGAGGTTCTTGGATTGTTTGTGTTAAATGAGAGAGTTCCATTGTTCCCTCATTTTCTCTTTACCCGATTATCTGAGGTGCTCATTGATGGAGTGTATTCCTATGCCACAGAAGGGAATCGCTAGTTTTTTAATTTTAAAGAGATCAGTCCCGAAAAGTGAGAGGGATGTTCCAGTTTTTGCTAGTTTGTCAACCTGATCGATGCACCCCCTCATGTACTAGCACCCATATTAGTGTGTTTTCCCAGGAGTCGGAGATAATGTTAGGCATTACCAAACCAGCTTTGAGTTTAATGTGGAGACCTAAAGCCTCCAGTAAAGTTTCCAGTGCAGTTTAGCGCGCCTTTTAATTCTCCCTCAGTTCTGTTGTATGGATCTTATCAATCCGCACGTTCTAATACCCCAAAAAGTATATTTCTGCACCACTCAGGTCTGCTGTAAATTTAGGTAAGATTTTTTAAAATGAAATCTTTGTGGTGTTGTTCCATCAGATATGAGATTCTTTATTTGATTTATACGGCAACCATTCCTTTTTTTTTAATGGAATTTTGGAATTGTATACACTTCTGGTCCTACTGGTGTAGATGAGGAACCCCTTTCAGGCCGTCGCTACCTTCTGTACTGTGCGTATCGCAAGTCTTACTTTTCTACATAACGCGAGTTATAAGGTTAATCATTTGTTTCTATCACCACCTGGTAGTGATCAGTGATCAGACTTCAGGCCTTTCAATACTTGCATATTAAAGTAAGAGTTAAGTTTAGATTTTTAAAAGAATAAACGTCAATGATTTTCTCTGACATAAATCACTCCATTATGAGTGAGTAGGCAAGAGTAAAGTCTAAACAAATATTTGGTATAATGTCTTAAAACGTGACAGTGTTGGTGTTTGGAAGTATTCAGATTTTTATCTTCTTTAATAAAATATGCTTTTCCACCCTCCCACAGTTCCGTCGTGTCAACCAACTTTCCCTATTTAGTACGCGTAAATTCTTAGTTTCCTCCCTCGTTCACCCCCACTTTGATTGCGGATGTTATGTACTTGGGGACTTACTTGGGAGCTTGAAGATAAGTTTATGCGTCTAATTAATTATTTTGTACGTTTTATCTTCGGCTCCCCAAGGAGGTCCCAGGAGACTGCTCTACACACCGATGGCAATACTTCCTGGTTACTTCTTAGCTACTTCTTCTATAAAATGTTATGTTTTCATTTCCCTCTCTACATATATAGACCTTAACTGCAGATCCTCTGCATACTCCCGTTAGTTTATAAGTAAACTCCATAAATAATAAAAAAGTAAATAAAGATTTACTACTGTTAAAAATATAACAATAGTAGTCAAGTTTGAATAATTTTGAAATTTAAATAGGGGGAAATTAATAAAAAGTTTCCCGTTTGATCAAATTTCCAGCCTAAAAGCAAATTTTGTCGATGCACGACTAAATATTTGTGAAGGTTGTGTTTAAAATCGTGACCGTGATACATTGCTGTGTATGGGACGTTTATATTTGCGGGTGACCTCAAAAAATTAATGAATGAGAGCTAGCATGAGTCAGCTAGTATGGCCCATTTAATTTTTCCAATGTCGACCCTGCCAAATTTATAAACCGCCATTATAATCTGCATTGACACCCACAAATAAATCTTATTTATCGACATTTTTATTGACATTAATTTTACCATCCCTAACCATCCCTTTTTATTGTATTTTAGCATGTTTCCTTTTTGTTAAGTATTCGATGTCGCTTCGACTTGAACACTACTGAAACGGTCTACAATCGGACGTTAACCGTAAGAATGAGCTGGCAAACAATAGATTCGTACAAAGGGAGTTAACAATCAAATTGTCCATTGGATCGAACATTTCTGTATTGTTCAAAACTTAATAGAGGCGGGTTGAAGAACCTGCAGCTTCCATTGTACGAATTATTATACTGCGAATATTGTCTGCTGTATTTTTTCTACGTTTTGTTGAGTCGAACCTTTTGAACATGATCAATTCCTTTAATCATACGAAATCAATAAATCCTCCCAGGGGAGAACTTAAAACATTAAAATTAACGTGATACTCAGTACCATTGTACTACTGTCAATCCATCAGGCTAAGAGAAAAGGTGTCCTCCATAGAAATCGCGGACGGTATGGTAATGTCTCATGGTAACCCTTACTTCTTATTTCTGTTACTTCTTTTTTAATTACTTTTTTTTAAATATATTCAGTATCTATCTATTATCTACACTGAAATTTAAAAAAAAAAAAAGCCACCCTTAATATTTTTAATAACATTTTAGTCAATCCTACATTGATTATCTTACAATATTTGATCTGTTTTAAAGGATTAGAGATAAATTACTCAGATGAAATCTCCCCCTTTTGTTTTTAATTGAATTTTGTAAATAAATCTTTGAATAGACGTCAATCTCTTCTTCGTCTGTAAAGATTCTTTCTAACATTATGGTGGTTTGATTTTTGTATATTGTACCATTTTTAAGTTTCAAATTTGAGTGATGGTTTTAAGTGATATAGATTCGACTAGAATCAGCTGAAAGATGGAAGAAGGCAAGCTTATGGACCCAGGGTGCTTAACATTTCCAGAACAACTGTCGGAAGGATTTTCCATCGCTAACAAGGTACTGGAAGTTACTCAAGAAGGCATGGATCATGTCGCCAACGTGTCACATCTCAGAGAGATGATCGTTTCTTTGTTACAATGTACAATGTACTCCGTAATCGACGTTCTACCACTGTTGAGATCAAGCGACGAATCCAACAAGTTAGAAACGTTGATGTCAGTTTATGCACTGTAAGGCGAAGTCCTGTTATTGGCCAAGAACTGACAAGACACAGAAAAACTTGGTTAAATTTCGCAAGAGTTCAATTGGTCTGTACAAAACTGGACTAAAATATTGTTTTGGGATGAGTGAAGGTATAGTTTGAGGTTTTTGACAACCGAGAGAGGGTTTGGAGAAGAACAGGAGAGCGATATATCCCCGCAACATTGTCACTCCGGAGAAGCTATGGAGGTGGTGATGTTATGGATTGAGCAGGCATTTGTACGGAAGGTCACACTTGATCTTCATCGAGGGTTCCGTAACATCTGCGCGATACATTGAAGATGTATTATCAAACGAAGTTGATCCTTATATACAGTTAATTGGTGACTGTTTTATTTTTAAGCATGACAATGCAAGGCCCCATACATCCATGATTGTTGGTGTCTACTTGAAACTTCAGTTCAATGTTTGGAGTGACAGCATGTAGTCCCCTGTCGAACATCTTTGCGACGAGTTGTCAAAGATGATAAAAAGTCGCCCAGTGATGCCAGAGAATTTGCAGAAATTAAGAATAGACACCCTCATAAAACCGATGCCACGTCGAATGCAAGCTGTGATCAGCACAAGGGGAGGAAATACTCCGCACTGAATTTAATATTTTCTTCATTGCATCCATAGCAACATTTTGGTAAAATTGTTTTTCTCAGTTTAATTTTTTATTTAGCTATATCTTATGTTTTTCTTTAAAAATATTCAATAAAGAACAAAATTATAACAATTGCAAGTATTTACTAAAAAACCGAGTGGCCACTTTTTTTTCTATCAGTGTAAAATATCTCAATTTCTAGATTTTTTGATTTTCGTTCTACATTTTCTACTTTAAAAAAGTCAAACTTTTTGGGTATTAAACTTTTGCGATAATTACGTGTTGTTTTTCGTAAGTGGGATCGTAAGTCGTTATCTACGTATTCCTTGCTGCGCTCCTTCTCGGTCTTTGCTCCTTGTTCATAATAACACAGTTATTAAATAATAATTATAAG